TTTATAGCTCACTCCGGAAAAGAGTGATAGCCTGGGACCCAAACTAAGCGCGCGCGCACTTATGGGATTGTTTGGGGGGACAAATCGAGCAGCCACCTTGAATACATGCATATGACGAGACACGCAAGTTGTTGTGTGTCGTTTTGCACAAATAACTTCAGGAACTCCCCTGGTCTGGCATTTTATAGAATACCAAAGGCAAGACGTATCCAGTTGCTTTGGCTCCCCAGCAAAGAAATCATCTCTAAAGCTGTTTCACGGTGCATTCTTCTGTTTTTTTTTTTCTTTCAAGGTATAAAATTGCCCCAGGCACATCTTCTTCCTTCAGCTTTACATTTTCATGTTTTTTCTTTCAATTCCACCTTCCGCTTTGCTATTTTGGGTGCATTCTTCTGTTTTTTTTTTTCTTTCAAGGTATAAAATTACCCCAGGCACATCTTCATTCAGCTTCACATTTTCATGTTTTTTCTTTCAATTCCACCTTCCGCTTTGCTACTTTGAGCTGTTTTAATCCCGCTGAAACATTCCTCTTCTCTTTCCGCCATGTTTGTTGACATTCGCGTCCCCGCAAATAATCCTTTAAATGCGCACGTGCCTAGTTTGGGTCCCAGGTTATCACTCTTTTCCGAAGTGAGCTATTAGGTCATTTACTAGCCTCCCACGCAGACGTTCTTAGGGGTTCGTCACGCGTTCCTGCCCCACGAACGTCTGCTGAACTGAAAGATAAATCCCTTTTCCATTGTTCGCAAATATCGGCCGGAGATCACATGCAGATTATCGGAGATCCAATCGGCGCTGTTGAAGTCAAATTGTTGACAAGCCAAACACATAGGTACAAGCTCTGTCGAGTGTGATACGTGACCAAGGATTTTTGCTCCTAACGAGAACATAGGGGACAAGCGTTGGCTTTTTGTATATCTCTCTCTGTAAAGGCTGGATTAGATGTCATTTGCTCATAAATTTGTTCTTTGGGTGATGCAACGGCGGGGTTACCTTGTAAGACTGAACAAAAGGAAGCATTTTTTTCCACACGTTATTGTTTTGTAGTAAAGGCGACTTCCGTTCAGCAAATTTAACCCCCGAGGTAACTTTTTTCAACGAGATTCTTAGGGTAGCCATTAGTACGAACGCTTGTGAGTTAACTGAGAAGTTTGTTCTAAGAGACCTTTCTGATCTTTTCTGGAGCTATAAAGTCAAGCGCGAAATTTCTCAAGGTCCAAAGTACACTTCCCAGATCTGGAAGTCTGCTGTGATTGGTCTACGTTTTTTTCCGCTCAAGTCACAGACGTTCGTGGGGCAGGAACGCGTGACGAACCCCTAAGAAAGTCTGCGTGGGAGGCTAGTCATTTACGGTACACAGAAGACCTCGTTCCCAGGGTCTTTTCACCGAGAGCTAGTAACTAGTGATTGACATAAAGAACGTGCATTCAATTGCAAGGCCTGTGTAGGTGTTTTCCAGTGGGGGAGTGGGGTTAAGGGAGAGCACTGTGAAATGTGGATAAAACTTAAGGAGGCCATTGGGAAGGCAGTCGAAAATCACATCCCCCATGCAAAAACAAAATCTGGAGATAATCTACCATAGGTCACTCCACAAATTCGAAAATTGATACGTAAAAGGAATAATCTGTCCATCAGGAAAAAAACGGCAACAAAAGATGGGATTAGATGACATCAATACAACAGTTAAGCGACCAAAAGCCCTAAAAAGGGTAATACAATGTGAAACGAGGAAAGCTTACTGGAGCTATGTTGAGTCAATAATTAATCCAACTGATGATCAAGATAGTCACACTGGAAGGAAACGTTTTTGAACCTTTATTAAACATCACAAAACAGACACTGTTGGAATTAAGTCCCTCTGTGATAAAGGTAGAGATGTGATCAAACAAGTGGAAATAGCAACCTTGTTGAATGACAATTTCTAGGCAATCTTTACAACAGAGACATAAGTGACGCCAGATCTCCTAACTCGGCCCTCACCTTACACTGACATGGCCGACATTAAGATAACTGAATCTGGCGTGCCCAAATTGCTAAAATCCCTCAAAGCCCATAAGGCGCCAGGTCCAGACCAAATCAGCCCCCTCGTATTGAAACTAATGGCAAATGTGATTGCCGCAATGCTAACTGCAATATTTAAGAAATCATGTGACTCTGGTGTAGTTCCCGAAGACTGGAAAACTGCGAACATTACCCCAGTCTTCAAGAAAGGAAAGAGATCTGATGCAGCAACTTAACTACAGACCGATATCGCTAACCTGTATAGCTTGTAAACTACTGGAACATGTCCTGAGAAGTCATATCATGAAACATGCAAATGATCACAGCATCTTATATGGCCTACAACATGGTTTCAGAGAAGGCAGATCTTGGTGAAACACAGCTGGTGGAGTTCATTGATGACTTAGCAAACAGAGGTCAAACAGATGTAGCCATAATGGATTTCTCTAAAGCTTTTGACAAAGTTGGCCACCAAAGACGTCTTTTAAAGTTAGATCACTCTGACATTCGAGGAAAGACAAATAAATGGATACAAGCCTTCCTTGCAAATCGTACCCAGAGAGTTTTCTTAAATGGGGAACATTCATGTAAAACACATGTCAAGTCAGGAGTCCCCAAAGGATCAGTTTTAGGTCCATGTTTATTCTTACTTTACATCAATGACTTACGGAGTCTTTGGGTTCAAATGACAGTCTTTTTGCAGATGATTCCCTGCTATACATGACTATACGGCCACAGGCTGACACCGAAATTTTTCAGAAAGATTTAAAGAAATTAGAACACTCATCTGGGAGAAGAAATGGCTTATGGAATTTAACGCTGATAAATGCCGTGTTGAACGGGTCACTCGTAAGTAGAACCCGATAATTCATGATTACACCCTGCATGGTAAAGTTCTTGAAACTGTAGACTCAGCAATGTACCTGGGAGTCACTCTAACCTCTGACTTTAGATGGAATCTTCATTTTGAAAACATTGCATACAAGGTGAATCAATCACTTGGTTTCCTTAGAAGACATCCGTGAGAATTAATTCATCTAATTTAAAATCTGTGGCTTACAAGACCTTGGTTCGACCACTACTCGAATACTCTTCAGCAGCATTGGATCCCTATACCAAAGAGAATGTGATGAAACTAGAAATGGTACAGAGACGTGCGGCTCGGTATGTCTTAGACTGGTACAATTACTTATCAAGTCAATGAAATGCTACAGGAAATGCAATGGAACACCCTTGAAGAAAGACGGAAAAGGATAGACTAGTCATGTGCTATAAAATCCACAATGACCGAACTGGAATAGACACGGGGAAATATCTGAAGCCGCTGGGCCGAGTTAGCCGTCATGCCAATAACCACGCTTATGAGGTCCCATTCGCTCTCACTGATTATAATAAATTCTCCTACTTCCCAAGAACAATAAGGGAATGGAACGTTTTGCCAAACGAGACAGTAAATGCCTCTTCTTTGACGACATTCACAAACTGCCTTTAATTTAATTTATAATATTATTTATTACTTCTTTTTTATTTATTTATTTTTATATATATACATCGACCGCTGGCCAATTTCCAATTTGCAAGAATCATCAATTATTGTGATGGAGGCAAATAATTGGTAGATAGATAGATAGATAGTAATTCCTTTGGTTTTTGCTGTATGACGTTTTTCGCACCCTCCCCTCTTATTTCTCCTGACCGAATCTGCCTGTACTTTTAAAATAAGAAAAACGCCGACAGCGGAAGGAAAAACTGAGCACTTGCTTTCACGAAAACATACGCCTACACTGCAGGCTATAATGCTCTGATCTCGGCTTTCATCTCATAAAGGTTTCCTCCGCTTGCGTGGGTTTCTTTTGGTTCTCTGCCGCCTTTCGAAATAACAATCAAGTCTCACTAGACCCCGGTAAGTTTTGCTAAGTTCAGTTCTTACGATTTCTTTGGGGAACTAATTTAAGGGCTTGAAAATGTTCGACGACTGTTTTGAACTTGTGTCCTAGGAACGCATCATCTCCAACGGACTCCTGAGCGTTCAGACAATTACTACTGACATAGACATCTCTCCCAGTCAAAACAGTTGTTTGTTTCAGCGCTCTTTTCTCTTGCAAAGCCCACAACTGATTTCACCACTATCCAGGGTCGGCCAGGGTTTTTGGGTATACGGTATACAGGGGCTTTATAAATCGGGTATACGGTATATTGCAGCTTAAATACGGGTATTCGGTATATAACGTTCTTTGAATTTCAGGTATAAAGTATACCTGGGTAATTGTAAATTGTAAATTGTAAATTGTAAATATCTTATTATCCACTCCCCTCAGGGCTCTTCAGGGATAATTTACAACACTGGTTGGGGGACTTTGCCAGACTGCTTAAGGTGCAGTTTACAAGTAGTGAAGGAATGAGTAATGATGCCCCCATACCCCAGTGGGTATAATTTTGGGTGTATTTGGATGAATTTTGGGTATTTTTGGGTATTTTGGCGAATTGTATTCGGGTATACCGGTATACCACTACCCCCCTGGCCGACCCTGACTATCGCCACTTTGTTGAACAGTTAGAAGACTGAGTAAGCTATTATGAAGAAAACTGGTCGATAACTGATCGGGCATTGACTCCCGAGTAGCTAGAGCTAGAGGTTATCCCTAAAATGTCGAGTCAGCTTTAATCCTTGTACAGGGAATCCAGGGAACCAAGGAAAGAAAACTAAAGAAAAAAAAATTAAAACTCGCTGGAAATCGAGCCCACGACCTCTGGACTAGACGTACTCGGTTGATATGTCGAGTCAGCTACAACGCCTGATAGTCAGATGGAGGCAGTTTGTGGATGATTATGGTCGTATATCGGGGCGAACAGAGAATAATTAACAATTATTCCTCGAGCCCGAATTGGCTCTGAGTCAATAGCCCATAAGGCCGAAGGCAAAGCTAGAAGTTCAACAGACAATGAACGTAAGTCTTAGTACAAGGAATCCGTGGGAACGAGGTTGCCAGTGGGAGTTAATTTCTCTTCCACCATGTGCGATATAACAAGGGCTACACTACACAACATTTATTTGTATCATAATTCTGTCTGCAATTTAAAATCAACCCGCTTAATGCGGACACTGGATAATACGAACAACGAACACTTTCCTGTGTCCCGCGTGTCACAAAATCTCATATGTTTTCAAACCCCCCTTTATGGACACTGTTTATCTGCGAGCTGTCTTCGACTGAATATCTTACCAGTGAAAAGCTAATACAAACAGCGAATTACCTTTAAAAGTTTTATCTTCTGTTCAGTCCACCTGGCTGCGACGCACACTAAAGGCGTCAGTACAAAGTTGTTAAGTCACATATTTCGCTGTTGGTCAGTCGAAAAAGAGGCAGTTTAAGTCCGAGATAGCCTTCGTGGCTATCGTTTCCGTACGGTTTAGGAGCAAAGAACGAGGAACAAGAGTCAAAGGCCACGCGAAAAATGGCGCAAGTAAAAGAGCGGGGTTAGGGGTTAAGGTTCACCTTTGAGTTTCCCCCTCCTTCATTTTTTGGTTCTCGGTTCAATTCTCGCGCGGTCAAAACCGAAAATCCCGTTCCTCGTTTTCTTTTTTGCTCCGAAACTAAACGGAAACGCTTGCTACGCAGGCTAAGTCCGAGACTATGATAACTCAATAGTCCAGTCAATGTAGGCATTTTCGAGGCTCAACATCAAACTAATTGCAACATAATTGTTTTCAACGTCATTTAAGTAAGGGTGGCCTATCTAGACACATACTAAAAATCCGCCAAAATCCGTTCGGCGGAACATGTCAAAATTAAGCGTTAAACATTTTGAGCTCTTAACACAGGGCACCCACGTTTGTTGAAATTATACGGTTAGGGACTGTGCAATAATTATCAGGAGGGGTGGGGAGCTGAAAAACTAGAGTTATCTAGCAAAAACTTAGACAGTACCCCCCCCCCCCTCCAAAACAAAAAAAAATAGTTCTAACCCCCTTCTGTTATGTTAAAAAAATGCACAAAATGTGTTTGTTACTTTTATTTGAAAAGTGAAAGAAGAAAGAATAACTGCTACCTAGTTTTTGCTGATAAAAAAGAAGTGTTTCTTTTTTCAAAAAGGATAAATATTAAACACGGTTGGCTTTTGCACAGGAAGCCCATATTCCACTCAAGGAACCCCAAAACAACAGGAGACTTTCAGAGCAATAGAATGAACTGTTGGCTGTAAGACTACAACAAATTTAGTCGTAAGGCTTTAAATATGAAAAATGAAAGCCGTTACTTAATCATTAGCTTTTAAAAGATATCTTTTTTATCAGATTTCTGTTAGCCGCGAGGGTAGGAAAAATATATATCAGAGCTGGATTTTTGAATAACGTTACAGCCAAAATAGAGCTCTCCCCTCAAACAGTTTTTTTCTTTCAACAGTTGTCTCCAAAGAAGTCAACATAGAAACTAAGAGTGCACCCATTGTTCTTCTTTCTTCTCCTCGTTTCTTTCTCCTCGCTCTTTCTATTTTTCCTTTCCTTGTTCTTTTCTAGGAGGATTTTTGGGCTCATTTTCCCTTCGGCTTTCGGTCTCTTTCTCAGTGAAAAGACTGCAATTTTCGTTCGGTACGTTTTTAAAAATCCAGCCAGATAATGCTTTGGCTTTTACGGTTACCCATACATTAATTTTTGTTAACGTACCAACATCCTCAAATATACAAGTTTCACTTTTTCGAAGCTTTTCATTTTCTTCGTGTTAAAAGTGCATTGGAGAGGAGGGGAGGATAGTTTTACTAATTCTTTACGATGCACAACAATGCAGAGTTTTTGAACAGGTTAAGGTCCAGTGCCCATATGAATTTGATGAGGGGGAATTGCTTTTTCATTAAAGGAAAAGCGTTGTTACCTTCGCAAAGGTTAACGGAACATTCCTCGCATAAGAACTTCGGTTCTAGCAAACGTTTGTTTCAAGAAAACGAAATAGTATAATAGGGAAGCTGGTTTTTAAGGGAAAGATTAACACAATGCGTATAAAAAATATCTTGTAAGAGTCTCTGGAGTAATGGAAATTCCCCACGCAGAGCATAATTCACGCAATTCAGTCAGAAGGTTAACTTGCAGTAAGTTGAAGTGTTACACAACGCTCATCCGAAGAGAAACATGGGTTCCGCAAAAAGAGGCGAGCCATCAGAAGCTAAGTCAGGCAAGCCCATTAATGTCGTACATATGTCCAGTACTTTCGCGCCTTCATTGACCACTGAAATTATTTTCAGATGTTAAGGATCCCATAATTGTTACAGAAAAAAGAGGTCTTCATTTGCCAATGGACGAAAAAAAAAAACTGGTCGAGGTTCAGGGTTGCCATTTCTCACAAAGCAAATTCAAGGAGGGAATATAAATGCCTTCAGACCATAGGGCAATTAATCTTATTCATCTTACCAAGAAATGAAGAGCTGCCGCAGGAAATACAAATTAAACACACAGATACACTAAACTAAATCTGAGCCTCGCTATAAGAAGAAGATGAAAAAAAAGAACAATTACACTGCGTTGCATTTTTTGGGTGTAATGAAAAGCTCAGAGCGTTATAATCTAGCAAAAACCAAATAGAAAGAGTCCTTAGCAGAATATTTATTCACTCACATTGTAAAGTACGGAGTCATAATCCTAAATGAGGTTGCTCATATCGTGAGAAAGAAAAAAGAATCCCTGATTTCGATCACACATATTGTGTCCAAGGTTTGAACATAACTACCTCACAAAAATCGATTACAGAAAATGGGAATAGGTTAAACAGTTTGTACTGATACAAAGCTATCGTCCGTTGCACACATTTAGTTGCACGTATCCTGCAGCATGGATGCAAATTTAGTAGCTGACTGAAGGTGAACAAAATATCAAATCAAACTGTTCACCAGCTATTAAACTTGATTCTATGCTGCAGGATATGAAAAAAAATTACAAGCCTGTAAAAATAAAAATACTTTCTGCATTTCTGATATTGCGCAAAAAAAAAACTAATATTTTTAATCATGTCAATACGACTCACTAATAATTTCCCTTTTAAATACCGTCATAGAAAAAAAATTACAGCTTGGAAAACAGAAGGTGAGGACAAACGAGTGGCTGGGTAACCTGTGCAAAGACGTCAAGACGAAACACTGACCCAGGTGTTTCTCACACATTTAGTCGGCGTTTTAAAACCAAAACTAACCAAAATACATTAGCGATGTTGTATCGAAAATTCTTGAGGAAAAAACAATTATCAAATGTTTTATCTGAATTTGCGATCTTCTTGAAATTGGGTTTCCTGTGGTGAAAGCGGAAAATCTTTATTGCCAATTTTTCTCATGTTTCACCGAACCGATTTTGGCGGATTTTTAGTATGTTGTTACAAAGCCATCCAACAATTAAATGGCGCTGAAAAAAATTATGTTGCAATTAGTTTGATGCTAAACCACAATTTGACTGGACTACAAGTGAAGTTTCTTTACTGGGCTTGTTACAGTCACTGGCATGAAATGCAGGAAACAACGTCCTCTCGCAAAAATGTCTGCTTTAGTCTCTACATCGATAAAGCGTGAATCTGTGACACTTTTTTCTGGAAGCCCGCTTAATACGGACACCCGGATAATACGGGTAGTATGGCATGTCCCCTTGGTGTCTGTATTAACCGGGTTCCACCGCACTGTATTAGGAATTTTGTGAGTTTCAAAAGGTGGACGCATTTTCACGACGTTCTTAATTTCGGCGTTTATTAATTCATTGCTAACAATAACAACAGTTCCGTCATTAAACTGAAACATTTCGTGATCTTGGAGTTATAAAAACCTAACACTGATATACCACACGATAAACGAGACATGCATAAATGAGCAACCAGTGCCATAAGGTCCATAGGGCGCTTGCAAACTATGTCACTAATTGAACGAAAACCTCAAACTGTTAGTCAATGCTCTTGTTATATCACGTTTGGACTCCTGTACCAGTTTCGGTCTTCTAAACCAGGAACTGGACAAACTTCGAAGAATTCAAAACACTGCAGCACGTCTTATTACTGGAACTAAACTTGGTGAAAGCTATACTGGCTGCCAGTCGAATCACGTATAACATTCAAAGTTATTCTTATTTATTTCAAGATTCTTGACGGACTTTGTCCGGTCTATTTGTCGTCCCTGTTACAATAATATCATCCACCACGAAGTCTTCGTTTATTCTCCAAATCACCTTTACTGTGACATACGGTGACTGTGCGTTTTCCTCTGTGCACCTACATCATGGAATACTCTTCCCGATTCACTTAAAAATGCAAACTTACTCTCTTTCTTTCAATCTGCCCTGACTAAAACATTCCTATTTCGGAAATTATAATTTTTAGTTATGAGAAACATTACGTAGTTTTACTTTGTTTACATTAATTTCATCATATTTACTCTCGTTATCAGACATGTTTTGGAGAACGAATAAATCTTTTACTGTGAAATATGCATCCTTTTTATCCTTCAGGGCATGTGAGGTAAACTGGGCTGTGTGATACATACAGACGACTTCAATCGTTGCTGTTTGACGAATTTTTTCCCGGCCTGTAGTAAGCTTAACTCCACCTCCTTTATATATCAGTACCTAACTAACACGGAAAGCCAATAACAGAAAAGAATGCATGTTAACTTTGTTAAGATTCGACGGATCGGGTTTCTTATTGTACATAACAGTCGAGTAAGTTTTATATCAATTTAAAAAATATATATATATGCGGTCGCTCCTGAATGACTGCTTTGTAATTAATCTGTACATAACCTTTGAATGCACAATAACAATGCAACTACCCTTCTAGCAGAGTCGCTTCGATCTGCAATTTTTAGTATCGACTGATCGAGTTTCTTATCATACGTAACGGTTGAGTATTAGTTAGTTTAATATGAATTTAAATTTGAATGACTGCTTTGTAATTAATCTGTATTTAACTTTGAATGACAATAACAATCCAACTACCCTGCTGGCAGAGTGGCTTTGACCTGCACAGTTTAGTAAATAAGGGCATTGTTTAAAAAAGCAGACGCAACCAGGAGCCCATGGGCTCCTGGTCACGCAACTTTTAAAAATTGACTTAAAAGATATCGTGCAATTTCTAGGACGTTTAGCACAAAATATAAAATTTACTGCCCCGATACATTTCACATTTTGTCCATATGAGGATTACATTAAACCAAATGCCTATTGACTATCTATAACTGTCTCTTTTTTTTAGCATAATCATCGTTTTGATAAGCTGCGACGCGAAATTTGTTCATGTTAAGAGTCCGTGATACGTCAGCGAAGACCATAAAATAGCCTAGAGATAGTGATGATTCATCAAGTAGACTCACTCAACGAAAACTTTGATTTCTCGAGGTTTACACGAAAAGGTTAAAGTGCATACTTTTTTGGATCCGAGAGGACTTCAACCATGTTTGGAAAATCGAGCCGTTTCATCGTCATTGTTGTTATCCTTCTTTCAAGCAGTTTTGCTAAAGGCAAACCCAAAAGTTCCGATGTCAAAAAATCACCGGCGCGTACAGTTCACAAAAAGCCTCAACTGATCGATCAAACATTTAACGTCAACAACTGGGGCCTCGGAAAAGCTGATCGAAAACTGCTAACCGAGATGAAGTACAAGATTGACTACCTGTACCAGAAATCGCCAAGCGCTAAAGGTATAAACTCTTGCAATTTAATCAAACTTGCAGTTAATTAAAAAAGCGACTAATTGTTTGAGGGTTATTATTAGAGCGACTTACTGTTTGAGGCTTATTTTATAATCAACTGGCAAATTTTCTTACTTTCAGTTTGTTCGCAAGATGGTTGGGTTTACTACGGCAACTTCGGCTACCTCATCATCGACATTCGAACCCTAAAATGGAGCGATGCTCGACGAACTTGTCAGATGCTTGGAGGAGACCTCGCTATAATAAAATCAGCGGATGAGAATAACTTCATATTCACCTTATTCAAGAAACAGAAAACCATCACCGATTTGGGTGTGTGGCTTGGTTTTGTCCGCAAGGCGGACAACAAGTTCTACTGGATTGATGACACTCCACTGGCGAAAGGTTACACGGCTTGGGGAAGCGGCGAACCAAACAATGTTGGTGGGAATGAAAAGTGTGGAAACATGTTTGGCTTGTCAAACAGTCGTGCAGGCAAGTGGAACGACTTATCTTGCGATGTCGATCTGGCAAAGCATTGGAAGTACGCTCCAGTTATCCTTTGCAAGAAAAAGCAAGTTAGGTGACTTGCGTCCCAAAAGTCAAATAGAGTAGAGCACTTTGCTGTAATGCCATTTAATAAACTAAATAATACGACATAAGTCAAAACTAACGATTTTGTGCAAGGATGGCGTGCGCACTTCACGTAGTGAGAATTGTTCGTCAAGTGAAGCTGATTTAGATTGAAAATAAATCAATTATAAATTGAAAATAAATCGATTAAAATCAAAAATAAAATGGCGGTTACACTTAAAAATGCTGTCCACTCGTTTACGATCTTTATTTGCTACTTTTACTAATGGATCGTGTGTCTTTCGGGTGACGGTAGATAACTATTTCAGTTGGACATAGAGGGATAATAGGGATCTCAGCTAGCGGCACTACGAAAACATGATTACTTACACGAGTTGCCTACAACAATAAGCGCCCAAAAAATAAGAAATATATAAGAAATAAACGAAAAAAAAGCTTGTTTGTTTTAACGCAAAAATGTTTTGATAGTTTGACCACCTGCCACAATCAAACTTGAGAAAAGAGTAGGTGATGTGTAGGCCAAGTGTCCTACAGTTTTTTTTTTGTATTTCGGAGTAGTTCTCATAGGGGGGGGGGGGGCTATTAGACAGGGGGAGTTTATTAGAGAGTTGCGTCTAATACAATTTTGACAGCGTAGAGGGACGTTTATTAGATAAGAGGCGTTTTACGGTACGCGCGCTCAGAGATGACCTCTTTACTAGGGTCCATTCACTGAGAGCTAGTAACTAGTGTTTGACATAAAGAACATACATTCAACGCCTGTGTGCGGGTGTTTTCCGGAGGGGGAGGGGGATTGGAGAGCACTGTAATCCCTTTGGTTTTTGCTGCATGACGTTTTTCTCCCCCTGCCCTCTCATTTTTCCCGACCGAATCTGCTTCTACTTTTAAAATAAAAATGCCGAAAGCGGTGGAAAAAACTGAGCGCTTGGGTGCCCGAAAACATACGTCTACACTGCAGATTATAATGCACTGATCTCGGCTTTCATCTCGTTAAGGTTCCCTGCGTGAGTTTCTTTTGGCTCTCTGTCGCTTTTCGAATTAACACTCAAGTCTCACTGGACCCCTGTATAAGTTTTGGTTAATTCAGTTCTTACGATTTCTTTGGGAAACTACTTCAAGCGTTTACAACTGTTCGACTGGTTTGAACTTGGGCACGCATCGTCTCCATCGGGCTCCTGAGTGTTCAATTACTACATAGAAATATCCCGCGATCAAACGGTGGCTCAGCGCTCTTTTTTTCTTACAAAGTCGGCTACTGATCTCACCACTTTGTTGAACAGTGAGGAGACTGAGTAAGCTATTTGGTAATTGATCGAATCTGTTTCCTTCATGCAGGAATGACAATTTGTGGAAGACAGGATTAACTCTGAGTAGCTAGAGCTAGAGATCATCCCCGAAATTTCCAGTCAGCTTTAATCCATGTACAGGGAATCTAGGGAAACAGAGAAAGAAAACTAAAGAAAAAAAATCCGGACTATAGACGAACTCGGTTGATATGTCGACTTAGTTACAAAGCCTGATAGTCAGATGGAGGCAGTTTGTGGGTGATTATGGAGGTATATAGCGGCGAAGAGAGAATAAAGGGCACATATGAATGTAATACCGCGTAGCAAAAGAGCACAGATTGTGTAACAGAGCATTTAATATGAGCATATATTTTCAAAGTTAGAATATCAAACGACAATGAACGTAAGCCTTAGTACAAGGAATCTGTGGGAATTGATTTTTTCTCCCACCATTTGCGATGTAAAAAGGGCTACACTACACAACATTTACCTGTATCATCATGCTGTCTGCAATTCAAAATTAACCAGCTTAATACGGACAACGGACACTTTCCTCTGTGTCCCGTGTCACAGGTCTCATATATTTTAAAACCCGCTCTATGGATACTGTCTATCTGCGCGCTGTCCATGACCGAATAGCTTACCGGTGAAAACCTATTATAGAAACAGCGAATTACCTTTAAAAGTTCTCTCTTATGTTCAGTCCACCTAGACGCAAACGAAAAGTGTCAGTACAACTTTAAGTCAAAGATTCAACTGTTGATCAGTCAAGGAAGTAGTGTTGATCAGTCAAAGAAGTAGTTTTAGTCCGAGACTATGATAACTGATCGTGAAGTTTCTTTACTATTAACTTGTTACCATTACTGGCATGAAATGAAATAACGTCTTCTCGTAAAAATTTCTGCTTTAGTCAGTCTATATCGATAAAACGTGAATCCATGACACTTTTTTTTCTGAATGCCCCCTTAATACGGACACCAGAATAATACGGCCAGTATTGCATGTTCCCTTGGTGTTTGTATTAACCGGGTTCCACTGCACTGTATTGGGAATTTTCTTATTTCAAAAGGTGGCATTCATTTTTACGACGTTCTTAATTTCGGCTTTTATTAATTCATTGCTAACAATAACAACAGTACCGTCACTGAACAAACTGATAAAGTTCGTCATCTTGGAGTTTAGACAAAAACCTAACACTGGCAAACTGCATAAACGAGACAGCAGAAAAGCCGTCAATGCCATAAGGTCCATAGGGCGCATTCGCAAATACCTCACTAACGGAAACTTCAAAACTGTTAGTCAATGCTCTTTCACGTTTGGATTTCTGTAACAGTATCCGTTATGGTCTTCTTGAACAAGAAACTGACAAGACTCGTTTGAAGAAACTTGCAAGAATCAATAAATCTTAACTCCATATTCAAAGAAACATTTTTTCCATCTCTAGATTGGTACTCATCAACTTTAATCTTTTTGGAAAAAGAAATGTATTTTTCTTCTGTTGAAGGAATACAGATGAGGTCACCTTTCAAACTAGACAACTGTTTAATAAACAAATGAGCATCATACCCTTGAAGATTGTGAAACACCACTGGAATAATCATTGGTTTTCGACATTGTAAGTTACAATTCCGATGAGCAGCCCTACGATATTCCCCAGTAAAATGACAATGATCACAAACTTTATCAGTGGGAAGTAATTCTTCATTACAAATATGGCATTTCTCAGACTTACTGTAAGAAACTCGTTGTTCTTGTGTCATTCTGAGAGGTAGAGGTCTAAAATAAAAATCTTGGTAGATCTTATGTACAACTTTTTCTAATTTAGAAACAAAAATAAAAGAGACGTCATCATTTGGGGTTTTCTTAGTATACAGAATTGGTTTAAATGTTTTACCAGGAACAATCCCTTTAATATAAAAACAAAACCCTGATGGTTCATGCTTCTGGTAATTATAAGAGTATGAGTTTTCCGGATTAGGGCAACAGCTCTTCATCGGTTTAGTAAAGCATTCAAAATCAGCATAAATAACAAATGGAATTGGAAACTGTTTGTTGTAATTTTGAAACTTGAGAATAGTTTTTGAAGGGGACATTTTTACGGCAGCTGATTCATTAGATGAACAATAAGCAGTGTGTTTTAGTAACAAGTCCTCCTTTGTAAAATGAGTAAAATATCTCTTACAAATATGAATTGGCTCATTTGTTCTTGATGTTATTTGAGAGCGAAAAAGACGAGAAAAGTTTTTGATCAAAGAATAATGATGTTGTCCATCCTCTTCATAAAGAAATAAGTCTATTTTTTTTATGGGGGTCTCGTAACGCCATTCGGAGGGGATAAAACTTTTTAGACTCATTAACTGAAAATACATTTATTCCTGAAAGACCTGGATTTAATCTTTCAAATTTGGAAATGTCTCTTATTTTGACTGGAAAAGTAAATCCCCTAGAATTAAGCTCATGCTCATACTGATAGAGGTCTGTCAAACGGGAGTCATTTTTTTCTCTTGGATGAAGATACCGAAGTATAGACCAAATAAAACATTTATTGTCTTTATTCCGCAAACTAACAATCGCTTTTTTTCTCATAATCCAATCTGGAAGAGGAATATAAGACCCCCCTTTCATGGGCCGATAATCAACACTATGAATTTCTAGATTAACTATCTCTTTAAAATACCATCCACTTCCATTTTGTTGGTAAATATTTATCTTTTCAAGAATATTATGTTTAACACTAGCAAGGAGGTCCTTTTCATCAGTTGACTCAAGATTAATATGCAAATTAGAATGAAAATAGGCTTTATCCTGGACTTTAAACAATAATTTTTCATTTCCTTCCTGTTTCTCCATCATACAAACCAACACAAACCTAACTTTAGTATTTTTATGATTTTTTAGAAACTCCTTTAGGTACTCTTTCTGTCTTCTAAAAAATTCTAGAGGAAGTAACCCAGGCTCACTATCAATTATATATTTGTTAGCAAAATCTTCAAAAGCAGATTTTTCTCGTACTATCCCTTGGGTGTGTTCTCTCATAGCTCTCTCAAGAGCTTTTCGTAAATATAAAGGAGTATCTGGAGGTATTCTTTTATTTTGTATACACTCTTGAAAATATTGTTCAAAAGTTTTAGGTTTTTTCATCTTTGGCTCCTTCGGTTTAGGTTTTACCTGTTCTGTTTCTTTACGTAATTTTTTTATTTCATCAATCAGTTTTGTTTTATAGAGTTTCGTATAACCCTTTTTTAATTTTTCTAATTCAGAAATAGAAAGTTTGTTCAAATCAACAGGCATCTTATATTACATATTTATTTTTCTTTAAATCATTTTTTCTACCTCAAAATAGTTTTGCCCCAAAAACAAGTTTTGTATCAAGAGAATGATATAAAACTAAAACTCAATTGGATGAATTCCCTTATCCCACAACCTTTTCGAAATATGAATAAATCTATTTTCAAAATGTTTTTCACTATTTTCAGGTAAATCACTTGCTTCATATAAAAAGTCTACGATTCCAGGAAACTCTTCATTAAAAGCTGAATCATCTGTTTCTATAATTTTAACTTTTTCGTTAAATCTATCTCTCCGTTCTTCAACTCTATCAAGTATAGCATTAAAATTATCAACATTATCTCTTGTTAGAGAATAGTTTATTGTTGAGCACAAACTATTAGAGGGAGCAGGTGAATAAAGAAATTTAAGATTTCTGT